TATATATATATTTTTTTTTTTAATCAAAATTCAGTATGAAATCACACTAATCTCATTCTACCACAGATGTAGTCAAGTTTCTAAATGAGAAACCAAGTAAACCAACTAATGATGGTACAAATAAAGAAGGAGACCCCTTTTAAACAGCTCTACTTGTATTTAACCACAAAAAACAACACAAAAACCAGAATTCATCCATGTTTCACTCTGATATTTTAGGCACTAACAGAGATCATGGTCATGAAAAACATACGTTGGGAATGATATTTTCCCTTGCCTATAAAAGGACAAGTGAAACATGGCTTCCGAGCATCTGTGATCACTTCAACACTGGCGAGAGAAGGAAACAGACATTTCCTTCTCTTGTAAAGGATGTGAAACTTGCAGGAACTGGATACCCTGGCTTTAGTATGAGCTGCAGGAGTGATCTACGAGTTGACAGTACTCACACAGAAGCCCAGAGCTCCGTAGGGCTGTCCGTCCCTGACACTAAAGACCAGGGACCCTTGGCTGGCATGCATATCCCTACAGCTGCCGTAGTGAGACCAGCTCAGCGGAGCGTTATTGGAATTATAGGAGCGAGACAGCGCGTTCTGATGATACGGAACATCCAGCACCAACAAGTCAGTGGTGGCCATGCAATGCACCAAGTGAGTGATGACATAATAAAAAACACACAACAAAGAGGTTTAAAGCATATACAGACAAACATGCAGTGAATCACGTATAGTTTGCATATAGCTGGGTTAGTAGGCTACATCTAAATAGCTGATTCACACAAACATTTAGGTTTTGAGTTGACTCAAAGTAGGGATGGGCTCTTTATGGTGATGGTGGTTGCTTTCATTTATGTATTCTTTGCCTCTATTTGACACTACAATCTTAATTTCGGTTTGCATTCAGAAGCACCAACAAAAACCAAAACTATGTGCAGAGTGAGATCCTGTTGTTTAAAGTGTCTTCCACCTAAAGAATATTAGGAGTTCATTTGTGGTCATGTTATGCTGGTGGGCTTTTATGGATGAACATAAACTTTTAACCCCTCCCACCCAAAACAAAGCGCAGGCGCACACACACACACACACAAAAATAGATATCAAGCAGTTCTTTTTTCATAATAAAACTCTTTACCTTTTCCATCTTCTTGGCCTCGATGTGCCGCATCACCTGGTCTCTCCAGTCTACTGGAACCCTCCCTGCTCCCATTCCTCCCTGCATCTGTCCTGGTCCGTCAAGGAGTGAGTGCTCAGACTTCACCCTGGTATTGGGCCTCTTGCTGGGGCTGCTGTGCTGGTAATTAAAATCGCTAACAGACATGGTCCGTTCTGGAAGCTCATGGGCCGGTGGCCTGCTGCTGTGTGGCCTGGAAGCTCCGGGTACATCGATGCTGTAAGTGCGAGCTGAGAGGGGCCTCTGCATGGCGTGACTCATTGCTAGTGGCCCTCTGGCGAGGGTGTGAATGTCCCTGTATGTCATGTAGTCTCCTTCGGACAACTGCATACGCCTTGGGTCAGACATGGAAGCTGTGGAGCTAGTGCTGCCTTGCCTCTGGAGGGTGCTGCTTCTAGGCTGGCCTGCAGCAGAATGAAGTCTCTCCATAGCCCACATCTCCCCAGAAGCTTTTGAAGCCATCGCAGGGCCTCTCTGCTGGGGCTGCAGAGGGTAAGGAGGTGCCTGATTACGGTTTGAGTAATTGGTGTTGGCTAGTGAGTGTGGAGGAGGAGCAGGATGGTAGCCTTGTTGCTCTGAAGCCATGGCTGTCCTCTGGCCCCAGAGACCCTCTTTAGACATGTCACTGTTTGTGTATTGTATGTTGTACTGAGGAGGAGGGATTCCCATGGCCATGCTGGAGGAGACTGGATGTCTGCTTGTGTTGGCAGGAAGCTTAGAAGAGGACAGCAGGTCTGAAGAGGACGCAGAGGAGTTGGGGTAGACCAGGAGAGTCTGATCATTGAGCAACTGGCCGGCTGACTTGCTCCTGACTATGCTTTGGCCCTGAGCTCCTGGCCCTGGCCCGGCCCCTGCCACCCTAGTCCCCACTGAGTCATCATCTCCATCAAAGGAGTACAACCTCATGGCCCCTGTTTCTATGTTGCTGATGCTGTGAGACTTCAACACCTGCGGGGGATGGCACCTTTTCTCTGGAGACAGTTCCTCAGTGCTGCGAGATAGAGACATGTCACTGCAGGCTGTCACGCCTGTCGAGGCCACATGCACAGCAGCTGTTTCTCCTCTCATCCCTAGGCTTTTATTCCCCAGACTATCGTTGCAGTCACCTGCCTGTCGATTTCCATTCTGTAAATGATCCATGTTATCGTAACCCTCTTTGCTGTCCACTTCCTCCTGAGCTAACGAACCATTCTTGCCTTTATCCAACTCATCCAGCTGAACCATGTTGTCAGTTGGCAGCTTGGTCACATTCATATTAATCTGGTCCCACTTGGTGTACGTGTCTCCCATACCATTGTTTATTCCCTTCTCAATGAAGGCCAGTCTGGCTTCCATGGACAGGTCGTAGTCTCCCATTTTCTCTGGTGGTGCCTGCTGGGTTTTTAAGAGGGCCTGGAGGGACGTTTCAGAGCCATTGCCATTATGGAGGAGAGGGGTGGTGTCTTTAGGCTGATTCATATTCTCATCTTCTTGCCTGAAATTAGGACAAATACTGAAAGAGTAAAATAAGAGCAGGAGGAGCACTCCCCTCTTCAGTGTATGTTACCATACGGAATAGCACTAACCGGCTTTTTGGTAGGAAAGGCATCTTTGCCTCTCTCTCAGGTGTGCACAAAGAGTTGTCCTGGCTGCTGTCTGTGGTCAGAGACACAGAGTCTGACATGCGTGATGGAGACGAGCAGTTACTGTTGTTCTGGTTGCTGTTAGCCACGGTGTCATCCAGCAAAGAATCTGCATCTTTCCCATCATCTGTTAATCAGAAATTACTATCAGTGTTCTGCATCCAGACATTTCAATTTTCACTTTAGATCCTTCATAGTTACCTTTTTTATCCTTACTTAGAGTCACTACTTTAGGCTGGTTGATGGAAATCTCAATAAGAGGGGGTCTGAGCTCTGCAATCTTCATCTCGTCTTCTTCATCTGACAGCTCCTCAGAATCCTAAAGACAGAGAAAGCACTTTGTACTTCTTGTTTGTGTAATTGTGAGAAGTCCTAAAAATCTGAAGCACTGAATTATTTGGACTACCTCTAGTGTGTCCTCGTGGTTCATCATTGAGTCCTCTGAAGACTTGAGGGGGATTTTCTGGGAGCTGTATGACTCAGAAGTGTCCTTTGCTTCGGGTGCAGAGAGATTTTGGCCACACATGTCGGCAGACACTTGGGCCTCCATGTTTGACGCTACACCATTGGGACAGGGGGCTTCAATCACCTGCACAAAAACAGTCCAGGTGATTAGTTATGCATTAAAACCTTATGGAGAGGTTAAAAAGGGAATTTAAATGAATCCAACAAGAAGACACCAGAAATGAAAGAGGCTGGTTTCTTTCCAAGTGGAGCCCTTCACTGACCTTTACCCCCACATCCTGCACTCCAATGTGGTTTCTCTCAACAGGTTTTGCTTCTTTGCTCGACTCATCACTCGACTCATCCTCCTTGAGCCTGTGAGCCACCGACTGGGCTGTTTTTACCATGTTCTTCAGCTCGTCTGGGTATGGTGTAGGGTAGCGCTTCAGGTTTCCCTCCTACAACAGTTTGAATACACAGAGTTTAAAATTAAAGCTGACCAAAAATGGTAACATGATGAAATAAATAAGACTGCTTTCATGCTAGACATGACAGGGTTAAGCAGAAATTACATCCCATTTTATAAGACCCCATCCCTGCAGAGGAGGAAATAAAGTGAAGATTTGAGTCCAAAAAAGCCCCTGCTGCTGCGGTAATTCGTGTCGCCACTGTTGTTTTTCCTTTTCCAATTATATAAGCAGTAACAAATGTGCAGCACTAACCCTCGGGGGCGTTTCTCTCTCATCTTTGTCCTCGTCACATTCGAAGGCCACCTGAGCTCGGTGCTTGCGTTGCTCCTCCCACAGAGTTGGATTAAAGCTCTCAGAGTCAGAGTTTGGAATGTCTGTGGGGAAAAATAAAAATGCCAGGCAGTGAATCAAAATTCGTTTTTTGAATTTTTTTCCCCACCCAAATGAGGACTTTTTAACTCAACCTAAATCTGTCACATAATAAATGTGACCACAAGATGGCGCAAAGGAAACACGAGGAACGCCAATAAACTGAAGGGAGCTGTGGAGGAACTTGAAAATTGGGAGTTAACCCAAAAAACTCCAAAAGAACCAAACAGTGCTGTTAAACCCTGGAACTGATGTTGCAATAAATTCCTTTTCTATGATGGCATCCAAAAATTCCAAGAGAATATTTTGCTACTATGTACTAATCTTCAGTATGAATACTCCACCGTAAACGCAAAGAAGCAAGTTTGTGGTTAATCGGTAATGAAAAAAGCATGAAAGATTCAACTCAGTCTCTCTGTTTCACCATAACTCCTGTACGACTTGCCTGAAATGAAGCAAGCAGACAATTAGACGCTGTGAAATATTTGTGAAGGTGTCAATCAGTGTGGTTTTCCTGTTGTAAGACGCTTACTGCTCTCGATTTAGCAATAGAGAGACTAAGTGTGAAGGTGTGTAGTAGAATTTTCTGATAAGAGATACCATTTGACTAATTCTCTGACAACATCAGCTCAAAAGATTACATACACAACTGTAGCTCACTTGACAACACCCCACAGCGTGAAGTCACAGTGAACCCGTTGAGTCACCTGCTGTGTACTCTCCATATCAACAAGTTGTAAAACATGTTAACTGCAGTCAGGCTGTGAATACTTCCAGCTTCCAAGCAAAAGAAAAAGCTTGATCGGAAACAAGCCCTAGCTAATAAACACGGCAAATGGTGTAAAGCCCGCCACAGGGCCGTAACTGTTCAGGCTGTGACAGAAATCCCCGACGTCTCAAAAAAGACCATTTCAGTAGCTCAAGCACGCAGACCATGAACCACTAATTACTCTAAAGTAAAGATACAACACTGTCAGTGTGAGCTGTCTGCTGTAAAAGGAAACCAAACAAACAGGTGCTTGACAAGAAGACGATGGCTAGTGTTTCCCCTGCTTCAGTCTCAGATAACAAGGTCTTTTATAAAATATGCATTTAGGGATCCTTGTAGGTCATCAAACTTTGTGAGGGTAACATAATATAGTCTTCTTAACACCTAACAATGTCCATGAGAATTTAGGGTTTATGTCAGTGCTAGTAGTACTTAGTCCTGATGCTGAAAACCAAGTGAGTGAGTGAAGTGTTTGATAGTCTACCACTTACAGCTTGGAAATGTATATCAAACAAAGAGCAGTTACTCACATTCCTCAATCCTAATTTGCTGGGGGAACATGTAGTTGGTCAGCACCGTTTTCTGAGTCTCTGGATCTTCCTCTTTCTGGAGTGGGATCAGGGGTTTTGACTGTGTGGATAAAATATGGGGTTGAGTGTGCCATGTAAAATCAGCAGTTCTTTGACAAATACATGGGACATGAAAAACGTAAATATGGAAGAGAACACGTAACCGCAGGGGAAAATAACACATCACAAGATGGAGCCGTGATAAATTCAACCCGTCTTCCCCGAATTCTACACAGCTATTTCACGCCGACTTTCTTCACTCCTAATTTGCCTTCACATTACTTTAACACATCTGGATGCCTCTTCCTGTCATCCATTCGTTGATGAGGCTGCTCTAAGCTTGCCTTAGGCCCCCGTCTGCATTGTTGCACCTGTCCAACTGCATCCATGTGTCTTAGTGTTGATGTAGCTGTTGCAGACTGCCTGTCTTCGCAGTGTCCTTGTTAGGAGTTATTTAGGTAGGAAAGTGATTGTGGAAAGATATAAGGACCACAAAACTTTTGAGATTTTATTCATTACAAATCAGACAGTTTATATAAGAGCAGGACAGCAGTGATGGATGCTGTGTGGATGACTCTACATCTTCTCTCTGCAGCATTCTCAAACAGCTGCAGTTTCCTGGGGACAATTTGTTAAGGCATCCAAACAGAACCTTGGGACAGTCTAGCCAGGAGAGGGAAAAAGGCATGAATAATTGATTTGAGAATGCAGTCAGAGTCAGACTGTAATTTGGAAATAAGCTGAACAAAAGCCAACACACTGAATCCACAGTGTCCCACAGAGTGTTCTCCATCCTTTCGTTGCCTCTGTATACTGACAATATGACCAGGTCAAGTATTCCTTTACCATAGAAAGTCACCCTGCTGTGACAAATTGGGATTATAAGCCTTTTGCTCTCATGTGAGCCGACCAGACATTTCCTGTTAAGAAGTCCAAATTTCATGCACCTCAACTTGCCTGGTAATTTTGAACACCACTTTAATTCTGTCTGGCTGCTGCAGTCTCGTCTTACAAATGCCCTCCTTGTCATTCAGATTTACACATTCAGTGGTCAAGGTTCCTTGTCTAGATTGCCACTCAAATAACCATTAAGTAAAGGGGGCATTTTCTGAGAATCATTAGGATCCTTTTAAGTTTGAAATAAAGAATGACCCAAATGTGTTGATCAAGCAATACAAAGGTTTTTTATAATACAAGTGTTACTAGTGCTTTAACCTCGTTAGCTGTAAACGAACCTATGCCAGAAACCTCTACTCTGTTTCCACATTTTAAAGACTGGTCATCCAATCTGACCTGCATTAGATCAGATGTCCTGGAAGTGGTACCTTCCTGCGAGCTACCGGGAAGGCTTCTTGATTTACAGCTGAATTTTTAGTGCGAGTCACAGACGCTCCTGCTATTGCTGTCCCCATCTGACACCTCTGAACCCAGAGGCCTTATTGTTTTATGCATAATACTTGTGCAGTCTTACCTGATTTTCAGACAGCCACATTGCAGTCAGCTCAGTTAGTTTGGTGAAACTGTACGGAAGATTCTTCAACCTGAAGAAGAACAAAAAACAAAAAAACAAAACTCAGTCACCAAAACGCTTAAAACTGCTTTCATGGGCGAGTTTAAAAAAAGTCAATTTAATTCATTTTGTCAGGCAAATTTGATCTAAGCAGGACGACTACAAAAGATAAGCCTGGAAAATGTCCCTTTTTTCTTAAAAAAGGAAACGATCAAGACCTTACCCTTTTTTCATTCTAATAAGCCTTCATCACAATACTGTAATCAGCATGTAAAATTTCAAACTCCACAATTGAAAATAAGCGTAAGACAAGACATTTGATTGCTTTTATTAACTGGTAGCTTTACATAGTGAAGGAATCACTGCTTTTAAAATGTCCTGGATTTAAAGTACGTAAAATTGATTATATATTATTTAATTTTATCAACTAATCCAACAATTGTTTTGTCAGTTATGTTGTGTAATTCTGATAAAATGTGTAGATTTTATAGTTAACATCTTGTTTAGTCTGAACAAAGTAAATAATTGCAAATAGATCTGATGCACAACAAAAAAACAGAAGACTACAGCAATTTCGTGTTTGGATTTAGATTTAGATAATATTTAAAATCAGGCCAGAGGTTCTAAAAAAAATAAATAAATAAAAATACAACAAGCAGAGAAGGCTCACTTGTTGTTGCTGAGGTTGACGACTTTGAGCTTTTGCATGTCGCCCATCTCCTCGGGCAAAGACTCCAGCTTGTTGGAATGTAGAAACAGCACAGTTGCCCTCTTCCAGTTGCCCATCTGTGAAGCGAGCACATCAATGACTCTCACAGTGAACACATGGATTAAGATCTCCAAACCGATGCGCACACTCACCTCGGGTGGAAGCTGGGCAAGGAAGTTGTGATCTGCAGCAAAGGTGCGCATATTGACACACTGGCCAATGGTGGCTGGCAACGCTTCAATCTCATTGAAACTGCAATCCAGCTCATCAATGCATGTCAGCCTGATGCAGAGAGACATGGGAGGATGGGAATCATGCGGTTGCCAAAAATGCACTTTAATGGCAGTTTTTTTGCAGTTAAAGTGCCAAGAAGTTACCACCAGCAGTCAGACACTTACAAACAAAGAAATACTGAACATACTGCTGCAATGGAGAACACCAATACATTTTCTATTTAA